TCTCTAAATAAAAAAAAGGTGGTCAAATTGCAGGTTTTTCAGGAGTCATTAATATACATTTTTAACCTACTCAGGTATTACTTTCATCTCCATTATGCTCCCTGCTGCAGTACGGGTTGTATTCTTGCAGCATATCCCTCTCTGCTTCCTCTCCGGTCACAGCTGAGCAGCAGCATTTGCAGGAGGGAAAAAAAATAAAAAAAAGAAGAAAAAAACAGGCTGCTAGAAGTACTGCCCTGAAAATGCCAATTATAATCACGGCTACATGACACAGCTCAATGGTGCCAAGAATCCTCCTTCCTTTTCCATTCCCCTCTATCCCTTTCCTTTTACTTTATTTCTCGCCCTGAGGGCAAACATTGCTTCCAATGCAGAGGCAGGATTCCGGTATAAAATCTCAGTCTGAACAAAGACTGACAGAGAGCAACGTGAATCTATTTACAAACCATGCCGACCAATCTAAGCTCCTGTTATTTTTAACTTCAAAAAGGCACCCTCAGGTACCTGTCTTAAAAATAAATAAATAAATAAATAAATAAATAAATAAATAGAAATTAAAAATAATAATTAAAAAAAACCAGAAATACTGCTTATCAAAAAATGAAAGCCACCAACGCCCTACACAGGGCATACTAGCAAAATGAATCTGTTCCAGTTTACCCCAATTTTCACTGTTTATCCTTATCTATGGTCAAAAGCAGAGGCAATTGCTTTTCTGCTCGCAGCTCCAGCGCAGTAAGCGAGCCAGCTCTCTCTCCTCCTCTGCGATGAATAAAGAATTATGAGCGATCCCAGCATCCTCTAACATCTCTGCAGGACGAGGTTCCTTAGTGCATGTTTATTTTCCTGTCTGAGCCTAGAAAAAAAGCGGAACATGGAGCTGTGCAATGAGCCAGAGCACACAGTCAATACTCAAAGGACCACAGCGGCCTTCCTGTTCCGTGCTACAGGAAGTTCAAGGAAATCAATGGGAGGTGGAGGAGATCGGAAAGGACCAGTTACACCAAAGCAAAACAGGTATGTGGTGCTCCGATTTGGAAGGAAAAGGGGACTTCAAAGTTGTTAAGAAAGAACTTAAAAATAAATCCCAGAAGGAAGAAGGTGCGAGAAAAGTAAATAGACATCATCATCAGTACAGAAACAAAAATCAGACACAATTGCTGAAGAAATCAAGCTAGCTAAACCAAAAAAATATTTTCAAAGACAGCTTTTGTAATGAGATGGATATTGTTAGAAGCAGTTCTCTTTCTACATAGCCACACCTGGTAAGCCTGACCGTCACACATTTATAGGGACATCTTTGGGGTTTCTACCCCTGCTACGACCGTCACACATTTATAGGGACATCTTTGGGGTTTCTACCCCTGCTACGACTTTGCGGGGAACCCAGCCATGCTGGGCACAACCTTCCACCACAGGGAAGGGGCAATACAGCTTACCAGAGCTGCCTGACCAGAGCCAGCTATTTCTCTCACAGCATTTCCCATAATTATAGTTCCTACTTGTTTGAGTATCCATACGGCAAAAGGGAATATTTAGCAAAGGCTGCTTCTGTAGATCAGACTTAGTTGGTGTCACAGCCATATATAATGTTAAGTAAACTGCTAATGTACCTAGTTGTACTAAAAAATGGACAGCACCTCCAGAAATTAATCCAGAGCTAAGAGTCTTGCAGACTTTGCAGGCATGCTTCACGAGCACAGGCTTTCGTAAAGAAAACCTGACTGGTTTTGTTGATGTGTTTGGAAGGCACCAACCTTGAGCTAAGGACTATATCTTTCTCTGAAAAAAAGCTCAGGATAATCGAATAATATCTTTATCATTAAAGTAAACTTACTGCTACTGCAAAGCAAGGTCGGTATTACCCCTCAGACATTTAGTAACAAGACAAATTCCCAACTCGAGAGCCGGAAAAGGGAAAGCACTTCTATCCTGACCGTGATCCATAGGCATAGAGAAGGCCTCCTTTCTGAGCTCTACTGCAGTACAATCTTCAGGAGGATTTTGCCCAGTGCTAACATGGATATAAATGCAGACTTAAGAACCATGCCTGATTGCTGCTAGCTGCTGAAGCCCACACAGCTGGGAAGGCCTCCTGGGGTAGGGAAGAAGCCATGCTACTGGGAATCATTAACCCTTAGGACAGCAAAGCAGCAAAATAATGTATCTGCTTGCACACAACAGCCTGCTCTTCACTCCACACGGACCCAGTTCAATTTCTGCTTGGCCACAGTGCCAAATCACTTCAGTCCTGCTGTCCCCTCAATACTCCATTTCAAGGAAGAAAGAGGGGTTTCCCGCTTCCCATGAGTATGGCAGAAATGCAACTCAGCAAGAATGCAAAAATACTGACCACCCAAACCTGCATCACACAGGTTCCTAGACTACACGAAGCCCTATACAGGCAACCTGAACTTGAAAGTAGTCCTCTACCTTCCCCTGAAACAACTTCTTCACAGGATTAGCTGCTGCCCACTGTCTTGTAGTCTGACCTGGTGGGAATTGAAGGCACTGAAGTACTTTATTTGGAATTACAGCTATATGACAGGCTATAAGCCTAACCTGTCTCCAGACTGGAGGGTCTGTCTCCTTCCCCTGTCATAGCTTTTATTTCCCAAAGTAGAGCACATTTTCCATTGCAATCAGTAAAAATGGGATCAATAGCAGGCTAAACAAGACCAGCTGGACCTCTCAGGAGCATGAAACATCTTAAAGGTTTAAGATACAAAAACTGCCATTGTTTATAGCTGTAGCAGAAACTTTAGGGTACAACAAAGGCAGATCCTATGAAGAATCTGCCAAAAGTAAGTTCATTTGGCATAACTCAGTACAGATTAGGGGTCGACCTGCTGGAAAGCACCTCCACGGAGAGGGACYWGGGAGTCSTRRYTGACRCTAAGTTAACCATGAGTGAGCAGTGTGCCCTCGTGGCCAAGAAGGCCAATGGGATCCTGGCCTGCATCAGGAGGAGTGTTGCCAGCAGGTCAAGGGAGGTGATTCTGCCCCTCTCCTCAGCTCTG